AGCTCATAACCTTTTTTGTTCTATCACATTTACCCACCACTCTTTTTACTCTTCCTCAAACCCAGGATAAAAATGCTCAGGTTTAACTATTTCTTAAAAGTCTTCCTTTTCTTATGAAGGCTCCAGTGTCACATATAACATATATCAAAAAACCTGAATGTTTTTTACTGTCGTTAAAGGGGCTCTAAGCCAAAATGTAGAAGGGCAGAAGAAAAAAGCATTTTTCCTTTCCTACACTAAGTTCCATCTTGCTGATTTCCAACCCAGCCCAGACACATTGCACAGCCTTCGTAAAGCCATATAATAAATCCCCTATTCTGTGCCACTCATAGTGATTCTACTTTGAGTAAGCTCTGACAGATGTACCGTAGTATTGTTTGAACATTATATTTAATAAGAAATAAAGGGTAGGTGGAATCTCTTTCTAGTATCTGTTTTGGTGTTCTGAAATGTGTCTTATTTGATAAGAATCAAAGTCACACATTTTGCAGACCAGAAAAGTGCTATCTGCATTTTACAGACAAGGAAACATAAGTTCCTAGTCACGTGAGCTTGTAGGTTATAGAGCTGTAGAGTGAGTGATCCCGAGTCTTCTGAGAGAAGCATGTAAAAGCCATTTCTACAAGCGCCTCACAAGCAGATTATGTACAGGTTAAGTCAGGTCAAATTCAGAAAATAAGGAGTTGTGAAGGTTGCTCAGAGCAGAATCTTTCTTATCAATGCAATACAGCACTTGTTTATAAAATAAATTTTTATTTCTCTATGAACAATTTTTAATGCCTTTAAAACCTTTATCTACTTTTCTAAAGGGTCCGAGAGTAATTTAGAGCCCAGTGACAGCTGCCTTTCCTTTTAGGCCTTCGGGGGTATTTCCAGTGTGATCTCCTCTAGCCTTGTTTTTTAAATGTTAACAATGTATATTTCAAAGACTATTATGTACCACAAAAGACTCATCATTATAATAGCATTAATCCCTAGCAAATGTTCGAAGTATATCAATTAAAAATAATATTAGAAACATAAAAGTACCATTTATATTTGAAACTCTTATTGAAGCAAGTGATTTTTTTCTGTGAAGAATCAACAGTAAAAAAGGCAGGTTTGAACTAAATAGAGCAAAGAAATTAGAATTTAAATATGAATGGATATGTCCCATCCAACCAAAGATTAATAGGAGCTTTTTGTACTATAATTATACAAATTCTTTGAACTTATATTCCTTACGTTCCAGAAATTGATCGTTCAAATTTCACTTAGCTAAAAGTATTTGAACTTCTTATTTGAAGAATTTATACGTTTCTCCTTTAAAATTTTAGCTTTATGATTTTTTTTTATTTCAAATCCATTGGTGAATAATTTATCTTCTTAGATGTGACCTCAAGAGCCATCTCAACTCACCATCTTTCTCTTTGCACTATTGTAATTACAATATATCTTTGTCAACTAGAGTATTGTATGGCACTTCCTTATAGGTAAGCAGTTATCTAAAGATGGATAACTTAGCAATGTAATTTTTTAGGGTGAAATACATAATAGCCAGCCTCCATAATAGGCCCCAAAGATCCTTACATGCCTGTGTTCACACCCTAGTATTGTCTCTTTCTAACATTAAATAGGACTAACCTATGTAACCAAAAGGATAAAAATGAAAGTGCATGATTTCTAAGTCTAGGTCACAAGAAGCATCAAGGGCGCTACCTTGTTCTCTCTTGAATCACTCACTCACTGGTTATGAGGACACACCAGCATTCATTGACAGCCATGTGAGACATTTTGCCAATGGTTCCACTACCCCAGAAAACCTTTCTGATGTCTGCATCCATAGCGAATACCTTCACTGGAAACTCAAAATATACCCTAAGCCAGAAGTACCCAGCTATGCCATTCCAAAACTCCTGACCCACAGGAATGATGTGAAGTAAAAAATCATTATTGCTACTCTAGACATTAATTTATCATGTAACAATAGATAACATCACAAGACATAACAAAAAACATTTCATCTTATACATATATTTTATTATTTTTACATTCTAATTTTATTAAATTTAATAATTTTTAAAGTTCAAAACTGAATAGTTGAAATTAAAATTTTTATATCATATTCTTTCTTCATAATATAAGAAATCGTTTCAAAATCCAAATGTCAGTATTATCCATTCCTTTATGCAATGTCTAGCAGAAAACTTACTGTGTGGTAGCACTCCTATACAGAAATATGTAAGATAGTCCCTGCCTCAGATAGGTTTAATTTTCAGAGTGAGATAGATAAGTGGACAGATTGTAAATGCAATGTGTGAAATGATATAATACAGGTGCCTGTAAGGTATGAAGGAAAGAAAACACAGTACAGAGAATTCTTAGGAAACCTGAGGGTGTTTCACAAAAGAAGGGGTAGGCCTTGAAGACTGAATAAAAATTCTTTACATAGAAAAATTGAGAAATGAGTCTTTACTGGTGATATTCATATTTGTGATCTGCTTGTGATAAACTAGATTTCATTCTAAGTACTTGAAATATATTCACTTATATAATTCTCTTAATCTTATTACTATTATTATCTCTGCTTTGTAAGTGATGAAACCGAGACAGAGAGAGGCTAAATGACTTCTCCAATATCACACAGCTAAAAAAGTGGTAAGGTCTGGATTTAATATCAGGGACATTCGGCACCAAAGTTCTCATCCTTAACTACTATAGGACATTTTCGGCTATCTAGGCGGAGAGGGGAACAGTATAAATAGAGGCATTGAGCAGTTGAGAGTATGTTTTTCTAGAGAAAGAGAAACAGAAAGAACAGTAGTGATATGACTGGAAAACAAGGTTCATGAGTTGAATTACAAGAAATGAATACAGAGCTAAGCCAAGGACTTAAATATCATGCCAAGCAATTTATACTTAGGCAACAGGAAATAGTTGATGAAATTTATGTTTTATGCAGATACCTCTGAAGCAATGTTAAACAGGAGGGACTGGATGAAGGAAGACAGGAGAAATTGCATTAATTCCCTAAAAAAGAGAATTAGGTCTGATGTGTAGAAATGGAGATGGCAGTAATAAGAGAAGGGAGCAAATTTATGAGACATGGAGTAAGCTGTCATGGAGCACGGTGACTAATCAAATGGCAGATTTAAAAGATGACTTGCAGGTTTCCTTCTGCCGGGAATGGATAGTTGATTAGGTCATTGATAAAAATAGAAAATTGGAGGAAGAGACCTCACATAGAAGATGTACTTAATAAACACTTCCTAAGAGAAGAGATAAAGTAGTAGTAATGCAGGGCTATTTTTTCCCTAACAGGTGAAATGCCAGTAACACAGGCATTATCCATAACACTTAATTACAGTGGTCCAAGGAAGAACCCCCTACAGTGGAATGAAAATGTGTTTTACACTTAAGAAATCTAATCTGGAAATCTAATAGGCAGCTGCTCATTTTGTAAAGTAAGAACAAATCCATTTCAACAAAAAATGTACACAATGTACTTTTAAATTATTAACTTTACAAATATTAAATTTGCATGCAGTTATTAACATCTATTGTAAACACTACAGAACTATATTTTATGATCATATTTGGTTCTAAAATTTAAATGAGTAGAAGTCTAAGAAAGGAAAGATAAAATATCATGGTCAGTACAGGCTCAAGGGAAGTAAAATCTTCTAGAACAATGTAACAAATTGTTTTTCATTTAAAATTCTAAGTAATAATTTTCTATTATGGCCATTTCTGGTGTTTATTCTTTTAAGAGTCTACATTACATAATATTTAGTACAGCCCACTTAGAGCAGAGGTTGATGGCTCTGATTGAATAGCCCTTTTTGCTTTGGTTGATACTGTGGACATATTTCTACCTGTTAGATGATGCTTACTTCAGCCCAGTTACCAATGATGCGAGTGGGCAGCATCATTTGAATAGCACCTCCATGTCAATAAACAGAAATATTACAATTTTTATAATTTTTCAAGTTTATATTTGTATTTCTTTTAACATATAGCCATTGTTTGGCACAGAGAGTAGATTATTGATTAATTGTTTAATTCATAAAAAACTGCAGTGAAAAATAAAGGGTCCCTGAGCATATAGAATGCAACTTTTGGTAATTTCCTGATTCCACTATTACCGAGGAAAGAAAATGAAGGAGGTAGGTGGGGTATGGGTGGTACAAATATGAAGATACACTTTAATAGGTTAATGAAATGTTTTTTGCTTGTGGAAAAAAACGATAGGCAAAAACTTATTCATCTATTCATTTAATATTTATTGAATGCCTGACTAATTCCTTCCTCAAGGAATGCACAGTCAATAGAGCACGTCAGATGAGAAAAATAGATAAATATAATTTTTTAAATATAAAAAGACTTTGAACAAAGAGATGAAAAATAGAGATTGAACTGCCATAATGAAAATCTATCTTTCTTCATGTGTGTTTTTCCTATTTTACTCCAAAACACAAGAACATTCAAGATGTAACAGCTCATCGTAAGTCATTCTGGGAAAATCCTTTAACACTCTTTATGTTCGGGAACTCAAAATAGGCTGTTTTGATGGGAGGAACAACGAATATGTCTGAAAAGGAAGTGTGAAGGCAGATGGACGTAAAACATACTTTACCCCACTTTCCATTTGTCCAAAAGCTTTTTATTTTGTTTTATATTACCTACTGTAAAACTACAAATTACCCTTTGTTAATGGTTAATAAAGCTTCAGTTCCAAAACTAAGTATCCACCCAAACTTTTTAATCATCATGAAATTGTAACATTCAGCCTTTGTTCAGCTCTACAAATAAGAAAATCTATTTCATTTGAAATCAGTGAATATATCAGGCAAAGGAGAATAGAAGGAAAAAGCAAAGAAAGAAGCTAGACTTCAGTGACCTAAGAGCACATTTGTTGGGTACTTTATTTATCACATTAAGATAGGGTAAAGAGAAACAAAGCCAGAACTAGGGAGAACATTGTTTCTATTCATTTAAAAGCCAAATTTCATAGATCTTACCTGAAAAGTTTTTGTAATCCACTAAATCAAACATAACAACAGCAACAGCAGACCACGTGATTATCAGAGCAATGACTAGAAGCCAGGCTGCTGGGGAGCTGAATGTGGTCACTATGTCTTCTGTGACTGTCCTTTTCAGCACTTTTCCGGGGGATTTGGGCACAGATCCATTTTTGTTGTCTATAACAGTCGTAGTAGTGGACGCATTTCCTAACCAAACATTCAGAAAGAATTACAATTTAGAAATTCACATCAAATGTCAATGACAAAAAAACAGATTATGTAAGCATATTTTTAAAGTTTTTATTTATTTTTAGAGAGAGTAAGGGATGGAGGGAGAGAAACATCATTGCGTGGTTGCCTTTCACACACGCCCTACTGGGGACCTCGCCCGCAACCCAGGCATGTGCCCTAGACTGGGAATTGAATCTGGGACCCTTTGGTTCGCAGGCCAGCACTCATTCAACTGAGCCACACCGGCCAGGGTGTTATGTAAGCATTTGTAAGTTGTTTATATCCTTTTCTATAATAGAATACACCTCTTTAGTGGTAGGGGCATACTTCGCTGCCCACCGCCACATTCTCTTACCAGCATTTACCCTCCTTCCTGAAACCCATATGCTCTTCCAGCCAGCATTCCACCAATGCTGTCCGCCCGACCACAGACCTTCTGTCATCTCAAGTTCGTCTTTGCTTCTCCCTTACCACCTCCCATCTCCCTTGCCAACATGGGCAATGAGTCTTTTGGGCAAGTTGCTTTTTAATACCTTTTTTCTTTATTTAGGCTCTTATTTCAGTTCTGAATGCAAGCAAATAATCTCCTCTGGGAGAGAAACAAAATCAGTAATAAAATAGTTCAAATGGATGAGATTCCTTCTAGATATCCTGGTTTAACTGCATAACTGACCCTTTTATCGAGGCTATTCATTATTATTGGTGAAGGCACACAGAAGATCTAAGATAATAGTGTAGGAAAATACTATATCCAGTAACTTTTTTATTCCTTCATTCAAGAGTCTACATGTTCATGACAAAAAAAAAAAAATTTAAATATAAAGGACAGTAAAAAAGATAGACAATCCTTTATTATTTCACCATCCAGAAACAACTAATACACCATTTTTTAGATGAAAATGGTAAATCTAAGCCCATGTTTTTAAAAGATTAAAAAGAGAATGTGGAACATCAGTAGTAAAATTATTTAATTAAGATTTTAAAATGACTTTAGGTAAAAATTCACAACAGTGACAATGAATCTCCTCTCTTTTCTGAAAAACTGTGTGAATATATATCCCAAGTTCATGAACTCAATTTAGTTGAAATGATAGCAAGATGGAAAAATACCTCTGAAAACAGATTTCACAGATTGTTTTTGAGATGGTGCTCCAAGAAGGAAAAATTAGAAAGCACTCATATCATATCCTCTCATTGATTTTTGTACCAAATTCCCATCACTTTAATGGCAGTTCTGAAAATGGATGAATGATAGGAGTCTTTGAAATGTGATTTAAGACTCAGTGAATCAAACCTTTGGAAGAGTGATTTGCAAAAGAGTAAGTGAATTATAAGTGTTTAGGAGAGGCCCACCTGAAATATGATATGTTGCTAATCTCCATTTCTTTTTAACTTCTGGAAGGCTTTTTACTACTGCTATATAGAGCACACTGGAAGAATTGCTTTTGCACTTCAGAGTCACTTTAGTGAACTGTGTATTAGAGAGCATTTCTGTAGGCAATATTATATATACCTGAATGGTATCTTGAAACTGAAAGAACAAGTTTGCTGAGATTTGATACAAATTAGTTAATCCTGGTCACATTTTTAAAAGACAGAAAATATTTAAGGACACTGAGATTTCTAAATACATTTCCTTTTCTTGATCAGAAAGTAATGAAAATTTAGAGTTAAAATATCACTTTTTATTTTTTAAAGACCCGACTATCTATATGAATTCCAAATTTTTCACCTAATAATCCTGCCAAAACAATTATTTTACCACATTTTAATAGATAAAAATGATACATTTAACTGTAAATGATTTTTAAAATATTTTAATGTTTTCTTTGTCTTCACATCCTCATAATTTCCACTTACAAATTAATCAAGACTCAGAGGTGATAAAAATATATTCTGAGTATCAACTGCAAAACCACAAGCAATTTGAAAGATATCTTGCTTAAAGTAAATTATGTATTGCCTTTGTTATGAAAATACACTAAGTAGTACCTTTCATTTTCCATTCAAGTTTATTACACGAGCCATAGAGCCAAGAAGAATAAAACTGAAGGAAAATAAATTATCTTCTCTGACAGCTGGTCAAGATAAATACAAAGAACAGAGTATGTAATCTGAGATTATTTAATGTTTGAGAAGCACTTTGAAGATGACAAGAGCTCATTACTGATATAGCAGGAAAAAACGGGAGATAAACACTACTGTGACATGGGCCATGCTTCTTGAAAGGTGATGTCTCAGAATTAGAGCAGAGAAGCTAGGATATGTAACAGTATTTTCCATCCCTGCTTTTTAATTTCATTGCTCTTGACTTCATTACACAATATTTTGATTGCCAGAAAGACAGAATCTGCTTCAAAAAAGTGGGGATCTGGCTGAAAGACCTTGTGACTCTGCAGCAGAAAGTAAAATGGACGGCTTGTGCAGTGGATCCGAAGACCAGCCTCCCAGTCAGGTTATGCATGGAAGAATAAATCGTAAGCCTCCTGAAAGAAGTCACTTAACCTCATCATGTCTTATTAATCAGAGGAGGAAGCTGCCAACTGCATTTGCCCATTATTATTCTTATGGGACACTGGCAATACAATCTCTTCCAGGATGTTCAAGGAGAACACCTAAATTCTAGAATCGTATAAATAAAGTATCTTCTCTACATAAAAGCATTAATTCTGAATTTTGTTTTTCACTTTTGTGGAGTACTCTAAAAGTATATCTTTACCTTCAAGAATTAGAAAACAAAGGAGAGTATATACTATTATGATATTATAAAAACATATTTTTATTCCAAAATTGTATTAAGAATCTAATTCTCAATTATAGGGAAGAATAATCTTTAAAAAATACTTTTAAGTATGGCAAAAGGTCCCTGTAAAATAAGAATTTTGGAGAAACTAGTGAAAATATCTTTTGACAAATACAGTTAAATAGTAAAAAATCCATCTTTAATTTACATACTTTTATTATCCTAGTTTTTGCAGAATGAGTGTACTATATATAGATATAGATATTTGTGACAAATTATGTTTTTCTACAAGCATATATAAAATTAACAGAATGGATTTTGAGAAGCAAGATAAATCATAACAATTTACAAAAATAAATAACCCTAAATATTCTAACTAATAGATTGATAAAATAGCTAGATAGAACACAAGAAACCTAGAGTAATTTTTGGAAGACTCCAGATTCTAGGAACATTTTTAAAAAGAAACAACATACTAGTCATTTTCAAGGTAAAAAATTGCTTTTGTCTCAAACCTAAAACTGACCCCTTGCCAATTTTAATGAAAGCTCTAAATTATTACCTTTTCTTCCACATTTTGTGGGATGTGATTATTGTAATAATATTTCAGAGAATAATTTGGTCACCTAATCAACCATCTGAGGTGAAGAGATATATACCTACTTTGTAGGTTATTTAGCATTTCTTGTGCCCATCCACTCCCTCTGCTTTTCTAGCATGTGAATTTTTTTCTAGTGATGAGTCCAGAAAGTGAGCAGTGCCCTAACCCCCAGCTGTAGGAATGGGCCTTGAAGACAAGCCTAATCCTTCACAACACTACCTCTTGCCTGTGACAGTGAGGGGATGGGGCGATGAGAAACATCCACATTTTTTGTGGAAGTACTTGGGGACATTCTTTCTACAGGGGTTGCTAAACTGATGGGGTCCACCTGTGGCCCACTAGCTCACCAGCTGGACTGTCTGCAGCAGCACAAAAAGTAGCAGGGTCCAGATGCCTCCAGGTGGGTTCATGAAGCCAGTTGTGTTTAGAGTCAGGCTTCTCTCTGGACTTTCCAGTTATGAGAGTATATCGACTGCTTTGATATGGTTGCATTACCAACCATCATGAGCTCTGACTGGCCCTCTTGCTCTTGCCAGGAAAGTAAATAATTGTTTTCCGTCAGTTGCTGCGTCATGAGCAGTGACCTACCAAAATGATCTAAATATACAACTTCTTTTAAAAATCATTTTCATTTTAGAAATAAAATATCAAATCTCACGCTTGTTTCTAAAGTGGCTGAGTTGTCATGATACTAAATGAAAAGATGGGTTTGGGGGTTGCAAAGTAAATTGCTGTCATTGAGGTGCTCTTACTAGAAAGAGCTTGATCTCGCTCTTGCTCTGGGTAAATGAGAGTCAGGAATTCCCTCCCTGGGCCCTGGTGCCGCACTGTGACCTGCTAGCCCACTTTCCAATAGTCCTTAATGCAAAGTAATAGATGTCTCTTCTTGCATCACCTCCTATGAGCACAGTTTTCCTCTACCTTTTGAACTTTCATTTTCAACTTAGTAGTTATTCCCCATTCAGATACTGGTTTTCCTACAAATAGCAAACTGATTTTAAAGGTGAAAAACAATGAGGAGTGCATAGTTAGAATTTATCTTTTGAAGCAAAATATATCGAACTAATATATTACATGTAAAATGCAGTTTTACCAACTGAAAGTTGGCAAGGATTTCTGATTACTTTTTCTACTCAAATGATAGTTTTATTAAAACTTCATTTTTTAAAAAAAATATTTTATTTATAGGGACAAGGGAAGGAGAGAAACATCCATGTGTGACCGCCTCTTGTGTGCCCCCTACTGGGGACCTGGCCCACAACCCAAACATCTGCCCTGACTGGGAATTGAACCAGCAACCCTTTGGTTCACAGACCAGCACTCAATCCACTGAGTCACACACAGGGATAGAACTTCATTGTTAAAAATCCAATTCCTCTTTCGAGAATCACCTGAATTGCTAACTCCATTTCCTTAATCTTTTTAAATGAATAATGTTGTTCTACCAGCGATGCTATCACATCTTTTGATAATACAAATGCAGAGATAAAATCATTTGACTTTTGTGATGCCCACTGTTTGTTTTTTCAACAAGGCTCTATGCCAGAAGCAAATCATCTATTCTTTCACAGTACATGGCAAAACACTTTTTACACAGTGAGGCCCAATAAACACTTATTATAAAGTAAAAAC